ACAGCGGTTTTTCTGAGGCACCCAACATCAAAAACTGATTGATTTTTTATGGTTTTTCCGTGGGAATAACGCTTACATATGGGAAAAAGTACGCCGCACATGTCTCTACATGTGCTCATTCGATTCTCAATAGACGATAACCTACCACGAACTACTCTCAGTTTTTCCCTGTACCACTTTCCAAAAAAAAAAGCGATAATCAAAGGACAAACTTGTTTTGAGTTTTTCTCGAAACTGTTTTTTTTGTTTTACCTGATTGTGCGTCAAAGATTTCTCCGCCATTTTAAATGTTAGAAAGCTCGGGAAGGTTTTAAAATGAAGGTAAATATCAGTGCTACAACCTAACAAAGCCGGAATTTTTGTTTTCAATTTATTTGTTTACAAAAAACTCTAGTTTTCTAATAAAAGTTTTTCTAAAAAATTAATCTAGGTTTTTCGAAAAAACTGTCTAAAAGAATTAATGTTTTTTTCAAAAATCTGGCCTTGTTAGGTTGTAGCGGCAGGTCTTCTCTACATTTTGACACCATCCGGAGGTCCGTATCATTAAAATTGAAAACAAAATCTTTGGCACACGGACACCTACTTTTTGACCCTTGATGTTACAATAACTCGCGAAAAACTCAATATTATGAGTTCAAATTTTTACTGAGAACTATCAATGGTCAGATACATATTCAGTAAAAATTTAAGTAAGATTGAGTGTTCTGGGAAAAAAAAATTTTAGAGGGGAGAGGGGCCCTTAATATGAGAAATAAGTAAATTTGACTTTTAGGCTTAAATGAGGTAAGGTAAATAGTGTATTTATGTGTGTTTCTCTTTTCAGAATACGGCAAAATCAGAATAAAATCTGATTGGCGTCCGCTTTAGTTTTGGTCGCACATATACTGCTTACTGTTATTAGCCCCCATTTTCCCCAAGAGACTTACTTATTTATACAAAAGAATTCTCGCAGGATTATGCTAAATATATATATTTTGTTGGCGTAAACCAGAACAGATTTCTTTCATTTTGTTCTTCTCTTCTTTCACAAACGTACACATTTAATGCGAACCATTACTGTCAGCCTAAGTTACATCCCTTGTCCGCTAACGAGTTTGTTCTGTTTCCGTTTACTTCTCGACTATATAGCCTCCTAAGGCTTTTACTCATATCAAACTTCATGCCATGCCGAATGAGCACTGATTTAATCATTATTTACCGTAGTTGAATGAATTGGTCTTTGTGTTTGGGATCTTGTTGATATCTGTTCTGGAATATTTGTTGCTGATTTGAGTGGAAACATAAAATTGATTCTGCTTAACCCTTTACCCCCCCTTGGTCACTGGAGGGACCATTTGTAGATCGATGGCACAAAATTAAGAAAGGATGGAATTTAAAAACTTTGGGGAGATGTCTTGTAGTGAACTCCATAAGCTATCGATTGCTAAAAAAAAGTATTTTGTTTCGTTGGTTTGTCTCCGAAAAGTATGAATTACAAAATCGATGACTTTTGAAAAATCACAAAAATTGGATTTTTTTTCGGAAAACATTTTTCTACCAATAGGCAAGATACATCTTGATAACCTATTGTGTGGTATATAACGACAATAATGTCTACTATCAATATCAATGCCTTTCGAAAGTTTCAGAAAAGCCAGGTAGGCATAACTTTTTGAACAAAGGTCGTTGTGGGCAGCTTTCTCATTTTGTAGCCCACACTTTCCTCTACATTAGGCTATGCTCAGCTCAAAAGCCGAAATTTTTTCTAGAAAGAGCGGGGGTACCTTTAAGCTTTTGACAATATGTCTCGCCAAAAATATAAAATCTTCTGCGTTATCGAGTGTGCTGAACACGAAAAAGCACTTTTCCTCGACTCTGCACGAACTTTATTTTTTTCTTCACGTTGATATGAAATGTCTTTTTATAATTACTTACCAGCTTTAATGTGTGATTTTTCAATTTAGACAAGTATGTCACTCAAGCATTTATAAACATGTTTAACCGAGACCAAACACTAATACTCAATGGCGAGCAATATCATTTGAAATTTTCATACAGTGTAGATATTCATTTCTTATACGAATATGAAAACATAAATATTCCGCTACTATTGGCATTTTGTTCAACCTCTACGTAATCTTATTACTAATTCACAATATACTCAAATATTTAAGGCTGACTATAAAATGGTAAACCAGATAATGGGACTTTCTGGTGTTCAAAGTCCCTATCACTGTAACTGGTGCAAGTACCAGAAAATGACTTTAGACAATTACGAGTTTGTTGCTGACCCATGTATTACAGCAGCCACAATCACTATTCATGATGAGGAAGAAGAGGATTTATCGATAAGACGAGGAGGTTTAAGAAATCATTCAAAACGAACAAAGAAACCTGCTTTTCGTCCAACTACTACGAACAACTACCACGATGATGTGAATCGTTTACCAACAACACAATCAAAAACTGGAAGAAAAACTACAAAAACTAAATTACCCGCAATTGACCGAGAAACAATGTTTAGCAGATGGTCAGCCTACGACAAAAACAGAGGAGCTAGAACTCTGGAAGAACATTACGAGCAAGTTGTTCTGGCATATCCAAAATTTGGATATATACAAAAGCCACTATATGGAAAAAATTTCGAGTAAGTGTGTAAATTTGCAAGACAAACACACAATCTTTCTACACAACTCCAGTGATTTAGTTACGAAGATATTGTTGTGGATATCCTTCACATGAAACTGAGAATATGCGATCAGATGTTAAAACATGCCATCAAAATAGCTTGCGATGTTACAACTGCAAATGCCACACAAAAAGATGCATTGCAACAGCTACAAAACGCATTTACCTTCTTCACAGCGTTCAATACAAAACAACACGTGAGTAATCTTTCGATTTAAACGTGATACGTGGAGTATTCAGCATCAGGCCAATAAGGGTACGTTTTTATATAAATCCTGAAGTCCCATCAATAGTCGCAGTTACAGCAAAATAATCTCAGTGGATCTTACTTCCTTAGGAATGAAAACGTACTGACGTGCTGTAACGTAACAAAAGCTCTTAAAAAACGTCTTTTTTTTCCAAACTAAAAGACCGATACTGTAGTGCGAATGTGTTCTATTTTAAAAATGCTGTTTTCTCACTAAAACACTACTCTGTAGATAATAGATTAATCTACCTTTAGATATGTCCGCAGAAACTGCCATTATCCCGTAAGAATTAAAGTGGTGGCCTGAAAATGTCCAGACTGCTCTTGTTAACAAATGATGTTAGTTGTCTAACAACAGAAGAATAAACCAAACTCTCCTTAAACGAGCAGAAGCTATTCTAACTAATTATCAGCTTTTACTAGATTAAAATGTCTTAAGAGTACCAGTTCGCGCCCTTTTTTTGAAAAATTTCAAATTCAACATGACCCAATATACAGGAAAATGTGGGGTACAAAATAAGTCTACTTTCGGCGTTCTACGACCTTTATTGAGGAAGTTAAGAACTTATAAATTTTATGTTCAAACGGCTTAAAAATTAAATTTTTAGTTGAAAGGAAGGAATAGGAAAACTAGGAAAAAACTAAATTCTTGGTTTTGGAAGGCCTGTAAATTGGAACAAAAATCAGAAACGAAAAGTTATTCATTTCCGACATATCGTCTCAGTTATCTGCGGTAAAATTTTCACTCCGATGTATAAGGTTTTGATCGAGTTGTAATGCACACGGATTGGAACCAATAGTCTTGGTATTCAAAAGTGATCGTACACCCCTCATATTAACTTATGATTAATATTTCTCCGAAACGAAATCACATGTAAAGTTCGAAGTTTCGCTAAAATTTTGCAAATTTATTGTAGTTTTGTTTACTTAAAATAGA